TGCCCCTATCAGGGCCACGTGTGCCACAGGCCCTGATATCATCTCCATTTAATCTGCAACCTCCGTGTCTCAATGCACGCGCTTAGTCATTGAGGTATGCTTTGGATCATGAGCTCTTTTTTTCCTTTTCAGTTTTTTCTTCCGTGAGCCACATTTCATACAGTAGATGTCAGTTATGACCGCAGGCACCGGGAGCCCTAGAGCGCCCCAGATCATGAATTTGTCTCACTCGGGCGGTAATTACATGCCGACTGTGATGCTTTTTTTTTTTTTTTTTTTTTAAGAGCCAAGCCCCGTCAAGCTATTCATTCCATTGGCGGAACAGTTTAAAAGATCGCTTTGTGATCCAATGTCAGTGGGATAAAAGCAGCCAATCGACGTCGTGTAGGCAAACTAGCGAGGCGTTGATTGGTTATCTACAGGCGAAAGGGCGGACTTGTCGGAGTCTGACTGAAATGTAAAGCGAGCCATCAATGGAAATTTCCACTCCATCTGTCGAATTTCTAAAGTCATCACCATCGTCTTCACAGACCTCTCAGAAACTTAACGTCGCCGGCTATTAAAGAATTGAAAAAGACTCCGCGCAGGCTAATTTAGGTGAGTTGGTTATTTCACATCATGCAACGTCTACTTTTACGTTCTTTGTGGGAGTATTTTGCGTCATCTTTCACGGATGCTCTTGGGCTTGCCAATGGTAACAATTAGACAAAAGTGGAATGCTCGTACCACACGAGACTGATTTTTTTATTGCATACGTGTTCGGTTATTGCTTATAATTCTTAAAGTGAGGGTAGTTTACCGATTCAAGATCCAATGTTTTTGATACGTTTAGTCAATATTACCGATTTTTTTAATTGAGCAACGTAAAGCTAGACCAAACCTAGGTAGAGCCAAACAATGAAAAGCGTATCTGTCAAAGCGTTTATTCGATTTTTGTCAGGCTGTAAAATAGAAAGGTTTTTTTTCCTTTCAGACTCTTTGCGATGGGAACAAAACCTTTTTTGCTATTCTGGAATGTTAAAATGAAGGAATGCCCACTTTTTGTGAACGGTGACGTCACAGGATCCTGAATTTGAATAGACTCCTTTTCGTTCTCCATCAAAAACTGCGCGCGCGCAATTAGTGCAAAAGAACGGTTGACAGTTTGTTAAACAGGGAAGATCAGTTTGGTTTGTATTGAGTAGTTAAAAAATAGCAACATGCCTCGCAATTTATTGTACTGGTGTGCAAATCGAAGTGGAACGGCTTTTGAAAAACATCTTAATTGCAAGAGTAAACCGATGTTTCAAAAACCCCGAAGAGCCTGTGGTTGGGGGATTTTAAACATAAAGAGTAGAAGACCAAGGATATGATCAGGAGTGCCCGCGTTTGCGGTGCTCATTTCATTTCGGGTAAGTTATCGTGGCAATTTGTTTTAACTTAACCTCTTTGTCTTGAAACGTTGAGAAAGTGGTCAGGAATTGTGAAATAATGGCCAGGTGTCTTTACTATTACAAGTTAGTAACTGATACCTAACTCGTTGAGCTCTGAGCTTCCGTGCACACCCGCTCAAGTAATTAAAGCTCTTAATTCGTTGGCATGACTGTTTGTGATTTCTATCTTACTCGTTTCCCCCTGGGCATCCGAGAATAACCCGGCAACATAAACGTGGCTAGCTCATGATGTTTGGCTTACGTGTACATGTGTGACAATTGACTCGTTTCCGCCATTTTTTTTTTTTTTTTGTGCGGCCAATTTAGTGTGATCACGTTGCGCAGGTCTGTTTTGCGCTCCTCTCAGAAAATGCGCCCTTATTTGTTGAAAATGTGTTTCCCCGCCTCAGTTTCAAGATGTGTGATGTACAGTAAAGTAATCTCTGTCGCCTCGTTTTTAATTTGATTATATTTCTATGTGTATGGCACTCACAGGGGGAATAACTTTTTTTTTTTTTTTTTTGTGCGGCCAATTTAGTGTGATCACGTTGCGCAGGTCTGTTTTGCGCTCCTCTCAGAAAATGCGCCCTTATTTGTTGAAAATGTGTTTCCCCGCCTCAGTTTCAAGATGTGTGATGTACAGTAAAGTAATCTCTGTCGCCTCGTTTTTAATTTGATTATATTTCTATGTGTATGGCACTCACAGGGGGAATAACTCATTTTTGTAATCGGCCAAAAAGTGTTGAAAGCTAACTTATTTTCTTAAATCGACCCATCACGCCTAATTTGGAGGTAGTTGGGGACATACAAGATTTCATCCAACTTGTACAATGCAGAAGAAAGTGATGAGGTAGCGCGTTATCTGTTATCTTCTCAAACCCCAGCCGTTCTGCAACTACAATGCCTCTCACTTTAGTTTACAAACATGGAAAGGGTCTATAAGCAGTAGGTTGCATCAGCATCAACTACACCAGTGCTGTAACTTGAGTGTGCCACCATATAAGTAACTCCTGACTTATGTAATCTTCCCAGAACTCTGCATTGAATTTTGATTGGCCGTTCAAATATACATCTTTAATTCAAAGTCATCATGTCTCAGCAGCACATCAGGTATGTATGTTTTTAAAAATCTATTTATCTAAAAATAAACAGTATGTTTGGCTTAACGTAACCGCTAGTTTTTAGGTTGTCATTTTTCTTCAAATTATTTTTCTTTCTCCGTGCAGCCTCCCAGCCAAGCTCATCAATGGCGGCATCGCCGGCATTGTTGGCGTCACTTGCGTCTTCCCCATTGACTTGGCAAAGACGAGGTTACAGAACCAGAGACAAGGACAGCAGGTCTACAAGAGCATGTGAGTAGTCATGCATAGGCTTGCACAATATACATTCCCAGGGCATTATACACCCCGCTGTGGCCTGTTTTCGAAAGGCATGCGCAATTGTCTGTGTGAGTTGGAGCAATTCCTGAAATTCCACGTTTTACATTCTGCCCTGGGGTAGCTCTCGTGTTACGTGGCCGTTCTATTTGAGGCAAATAAGTCTGGACTAGCACAGGTGCAGGTCTGATTTACTGCAGATAGACAATGAGACTTGGCATTCTAAATAACACCATAAAGACCAATATATAATACCATACTTTGGCCAAGTATTCCGCAGAAACAGTGGCACAGTTTGAACATTCATATTTCTGGATGGAATAAAATGTACTTGAATAGTTATTCAATTAAAATGTACTTCACGCACTTTAGTAGATATTTGAAAACTAATGTTCCCCAAAACTAACTAATTGACTAAACTTGAGCTTGTACTTCAAATACAACTGAACTGTACCTACCAAATGTACTGAATTAAAAAGAAAGTGAGGTCGGGGGACATTACGGCCTCTGTAACATTTCGGAAAATTTTGAAAAATCAAATGATTACCATCTGAATACACCCAATTTGATCATTCTTTCAATTTCTCTTTTTTTTGTAGGATGGACTGCCTTGTGAAAACAGTTCGATCGGAGGGCTACTTTGGCATGTATAGAGGTAAAATTCCAAATATAACGATTACAATGACTAGAAATGCTCAAAGAGGATTTATTTTAAAGAGAGGGTAAGATCGGGACATGTTGTTTAATATCACTGGCTACAGGGTAATATTTTTCAGACAGTGGAACCTCCAAAGTTGAATGCAGCGCAAAAAAACGCGCGATTTGGGGCTCAGAACGTCATCTGTGACAAGTCTTGTGAGACTTAAGCTGCTCAGCAAGCAGCAAAAGGATTGACATCCTTGGGCCCCTTGTTCCAGGTGTAAGTCTTGCGCAAAGCGTTATCTAACTGTGCGCAGAGGTGGAGTTTTCTTTCTTTTGGTATTTGGCTAGATTTTGCGCCAGTAGTATTCACAAATGCGGTAAAGTGGCCTCTACAAATAGTCACGGGTAAAGACACAGCTACAAATGCCGAATTGTTCCTTTGACACACACATTTTTAAGATAGACCAAAAACGACCAGATGGCCTGCTTAGGCATTGTTCGTGTTTACTATATTTGTGTGTGTTTGTGTTTCACTTTCGTCCCCAGACGCCAGCGATAGCGAACACAAACCCATCATTTAATCACCCCGAAGTTATCATAGTTATCGCAGCTTGCACAAGCCTGTCTTCCGGGTTTGGGCACGTGATGTTCCGGGTTCTACAAATTTTCAACAGCTGCAGCCATTATAGCTTAGCATCCGGCTGCTTCGTTTAGTATGAAAAAAAAAATGCATGTCCGTTACCGTTAGGAGTGATTTTCTTTCAGTTTTATAATACAGACTTTTTCTTTATACCTCAATATGGGCTTGAAATGTTATGTAAAATATCACTGGTAGAGTCAATACATATTAAGCACTGTAAATGACTTTGCATTCTGTTCTAAGGGAATATAAAATAAAATATAGTCTGGGATTGTTTGACTTTGGAGGTTCCACTGCCTTATTTAATTCAAGGCTTCATCTTGTTAGTAATGAGGGTGAAGCAAGTGTATTTTCAGTCCACCGTTTACTACATTAACAAAGTAAATGTGGCTGTTTGTAGACAAGGCCAAAACCATTCCTATGTTAATTGTGATAGCAGTGCTGCCAAAATGGAAAAAAAAAAAACCTGACAAGGCTTTTAAATGATTGTTCGATGCCTTTAAAATTAAAGTCGTTGTAGAGTTTGATGAGGAAAAATCGGGGCCCTTATGTTGTGGGTCTCTGCTTGTGTGAGGAATGCTGTTTGTTTGCATCTGTGTTTTTCATATTACAGACATGGGTCCCCCTGGGATATTGAAGGCTAGCCGATAAGGCGCAGCCACGCTGGAGGCAAACCATTTATGGTTCTTACAATATTGCTCTATTCCAAACTACAGGCACATATGTTGTTTTTGCCATCTTTACTTGTCCTGTTGTGTCAACTCCTTGTCAGTAACGTCCGTGCTGCTCCTTCACTTTCTGGACTTCTGGAGCGTGCTTTCAGGACTTTTTGCTTGATCTTGCAAATGACTTGTGAAACTCACAAGGGTCTATTTTCAAGTTTGGCCAAAAATCTGATCACGCGCCATTCATTGTCTGTCTGTCTTTTCTTTTCACAAACATGTTTTTATTTTGTCTTGTCAGCTGATTCTTTGCTCCTTCGTGTCTTTCACTGTCTCCATCTGCATCTCTGTATTCTTTTTTCAGCATTATGGCTTTGTTTTATTTGACTCCTCCCTTATTTTCTCTTTGTAATTTCCTCGACTCTGTCCTTATGACTTAAACTTCTCTGTGTTTTATTAGCCTCATATAGGACTCTTTACATTCTAGTGCTGTAATGATAATGGTGGGGAATGCTTGTACAAAGTGAAATGTGACAGCTCGATGTCTAACTGTCATCTTGTTTGTCCCTTAAGGCGCCGCTGTGAATTTGACTCTCGTGACACCCGAGAAGGCCATAAAGCTGGCCGCCAATGACTTTTTCCGACACCACTTTGCGAAAAATGGGTGAGTTTTTGAGAACTGCTCAGCATTGAGGCTAATTGATTCATTATTGAGACTGACTGTTGGTTGCTTTTGTTTGAAGTCAAGGTCTGTCGGTGTTCAAAGAGATGCTGGCTGGCTGCGGCGCGGGCATGTGTCAAGTCATAGTCACCACACCCATGGAAATGCTCAAGATACAGTTGCAGGACGCCGGCAGAATCGGTAAGCGCATTTTTATCATTGGGCAATAGGAAACACATTCAAGTACTACGGAATAACATGTTTTATGGGATGTTCTGTAAAAAAAAGAAAAAAAAATCTGATGTGATCAAACAATCTCATTAATGGTTTGCGTCACAAAACCTCCTCAAAGACGTTTTCCTGCCACTGCATTCATGTTGAATTGGTGTAAATAGTGGTGTTGTTTTGCTTGTTTCTGTAGTTGCCGAGCAACAAAAGCCAGTCATCACGTCTTCCTCCAAGCTTGTGGCCACCAATCCGCTACTGAGTCGCTCCTACAACTCGGGAACTGTGACCGCGCTGGCCACGCCACGCCCCGCGTCGGCAACGCAGATCGCCAGGGAGCTCCTCCGCACGCAGGGCATCCAGGGGCTTTACAAAGGCCTTGGGGCCACGCTCATGAGGTAAGATCCCTGCCGTCCTCTCCAAACATATTCATTTGACATGTGTCTTCAAGTCTAACATGTCTTCTGTTGCTCCTTAGGGATGTCCCCTTCTCAGTCGTCTACTTCCCTTTGTTCGCCAACCTCAACAGACTCGGCCAGTCGAGTGCTGACCAGTCGTCACCTTTCTACTGGGCTTTCCTCTCGGGTTGCGCAGCAGGCTCCACTGCCGCAGTGGTCGTCAACCCCTGTGATGGTGAGGGCTCATCCTCATCATCAAAATTTCCGAAATCGGCCTCATAGGAATATTGTCCCTTAACGTGTTAGCTTTTGTTGCTTTCCAGTGGTGAAGACCAGACTGCAGTCACTGAACAAGGGCTCGGCTGAAGAGGCTTACAGCGGAGTCGTCGACTGTGTCAGGTGAGACTTAGAGACTGTAGTTATAGTCATAGACAGTGAATGTGAGCTTGAGTGTAAAAACGGACACGTCATAATTCTCCTGCTGGGGCAAGCCTAGTTCAGCGAGTTTGGAAATTTTGCTAACCGCATTGTGCGATGATTTGATGGCTCGAGGGCGTTTTCTGTTGCACCGGCACAAGTATTTGACGGGCGGGGTGAGGATTCACACACTGACATGAATGATTGGGTTGGAAGATTGTCGGGGTGAGGATTCACGCACTGACATGAATGATTGGGTTGGAAGATTGTCTCCCAAGTGCCCACATGACAGCAGTGACCTTTGATCCTGCCCAACTTTACATCATCTACCTTTGGAGGTCTGCTTGCAGTTAATTATAAACGTTCCTTGTATGCTTCGATGTTGTGCATGGACTCCAGGGAGTTCTTACCTGCTTCCGCAATTTCAAACACAGCGCCTGGCACGCACTCTGAATTGTGAGGGAATGAGAGTCGACTGTGTTGACTGCCAACAAATTCCCGTTTCCAAGCACACTCGTCTGAGAATACCAAAAGAAAGAAAACCCCACGCATGCGTGCAAGTCGACCATGCTGTGTGCTAAACTTGTGCTGGGCATGAAAATACTGCAATACGTTTTTCATACATTACATTTTTTATATACCCTGTTTAAAGGACATTGAACATTAGTTTTACAATTGAAAAAGGGTTTCCAAGTGTCTAAATAAAAGGCAGCTGATGTTCTTCTGTCAAGATACAGAAAGGACAAAGAATTGTATACCTGCATGTTTCATTCAGGCTGCAACAATTTCTCTGTAAGGACTCATGTGACTGCAGACTCACACACCACAGGTGTAGACATTAGTTGGCGCAATGGTAGCAAGCTAGAAATAATGCACACTAACAGAATGTCCAAAAATTTGGGTCATTCCACACAAAAAAAAAGTACAGAGTGCGTAACGGCACAATCCATGAACACAAGGTGGTCGAAGATAACCACAGCTGCCAGTGCACTTTCAATCACTTTTTATAAGACAAATTGTAGCAACAAGTCTCTCGCCAGACTTTGCCCTCAAGCCAAATACATTCATAGTCACAGATACAACAGTGAAGAACGTAAGGATGGGGAGCCAAGTGGACAATAATAGTACCTGCACCACACATGAACATTTTGTGTTGGCATTGATTAACTCATGCAAAGCGAATTTGTATCGGATTTACTCAAGGGTAGAATACTTCATTTTATATCAATTTGATAGCTGCTGCCCTTTTTTTAAATGACTTGATGCTGCTTTGTTCCCACAGCAAAATCCTGCGCAAGGAAGGACCGTCCGCTTTCATGAAAGGCGCCGGCTGCCGAGCCCTGGTCATCGCGCCTCTGTTTGGCATCGCCCAGGTCATGTACTTTGTCGGTGTGGGCGAGTACATCCTAGACAACTCCCCTCTCGGTGTCCTGTCGCCGTAAGAGGTCCTCGCCACCTGAGCAGGGGGACCACTTGGAGCCAAGAAGGATGGCCGCAACTGGCAGCTACGTTCTATCAGTTTACATCCATGCAAGGAGGAAGAAGAGTTGTGTTGCACTTGAAACACTTTTGTGGCTTAACTCTCGCCCTCGGCCCGCGTTGGCACTGTGACGATAATCAGCCTTACTCATGAGGAGTTGAGAGAGGCACAGCTATTTCATTTTCAGTGTTTTTTCTGTTTCTATGTTACGTAGTTACTGTGAGTGAAGTCTTGCCTTCACATGGTCATTTCAGTGTGAAGGCCTTTGTTACCACCACGTCACTGTGTGTGCGTGTGACTGTGAAGATGTGTGTTTTGTCCACATTAATTTGCATGAACTTTCATCCTGCTGCAATGCCTTCGTGGGGAAAAAAATGACACTACAATAACTTTTTTGTACTATGTATGAATACCCATGCATTACTAAATAATGCAATCTACTCGCTTTTGTTGGTCCATTTATTTGAATGATTGCACACAATTACAATGCAACACATTTTGACCTAAATACACTTTTCTGTTTTTATTGGCACACCCAAAATAATGTACAGTGCATTCACAATTATAGTACTTACTAAATGTTTAAAAAGATGGTTAAAACCTCTATTATACTTTAAAAGTACAAAGATTGGTTGGTGATGAGTCGCAGTAGTATAAACACGTTCAAATAAATTTCCACAACACTTATGAGGGTCACAGAGAGCTGGTGGCTTACAGCCTGGACTGGTTGCCAGCCAATCGCAGGGCTCATGTATGAAGACACACCCACATCCTCGCAGATGGGCAATTTAAAAATAAAACATGTATCTTCTTGTCATTTGCGAGGAAGCCAAATAGTCGGGAGATAATCCGCGCAAGCACGGCAGACGCATGCAAAGTTGAGGTTTGAACCCGGTACCTCAAAACATGGAACCCACTAATTTACCGTGCTTCATCACATTTAAAAAACCTTTAATAAAAACGGTCACTTGCACAAGGCTTGTCCAGTAGGCACGTACAGTATGCAGTAGATTCTACATCAGGGGTAGGGAACTCCGGTTTCTCGAAAGCCAAATCCTGCCTGTTTTAGATCCCTCTTGACTTCAACACATCTGATTCAAATGATCAGCTCATCAGTAAGCTCTGTAGAGACCTGAAATGAACACGAGCAATTGAATCAGGTATGTTGGAGTATCGGGAGGGATCTAAAACAGGCAGGACATGGCTCTCGAGGAACCGGAGTTCCCTCCCCCTGTTCTACATGAAGTCAGGCTTACAAAAAGGCAGGCTAGGCCTCCAAAACAACGAGGCACACAGTATGTAGGACATGCGAAGACGCATCCATATTTACAGCAGGAATGTCACAGAAGCGTGCCACAAACAGAGAGCATGTGTTATATGCAGAGGTGAGAGGAGGGAGGAGTCCAACCAGGTCGTATGATTGACAACTATATAACCTCCCTGCTGTTCCGGATGGCACAACACAGCACCATGCTGAAAATCATCCCTAGGATCTGAAATCACACACACACACACACACACACACACACACATTGAAAATCTCCAGTGGCTCCTTTGCTGACACGCAATCATTACACACACCATTACTCCTCCGATGCCAATCCCGATGTAACCGATGACATGCAGCTTGTTGTTGAAGAAATCTGTGATTGCGCTCAGACAGTCCTGGAATGACATTGGACAATTCATTCGGTAGACCTACAGTTCAGTGGC